AATACACTGGATGGCCAGTGTAGATGCTAAGAAATATAGAGAACTTAGGAAAACTTAACATAAGATGGTCTCATCTTAGAATTAAAGAATTTTTTAAAGTAACTCAATGTTTTAAGTGTTCAAAGTGTGAGCACTTTCAAACAAAATGCCTAGAACCACAAATATGTGCTAAGTGTGGTGAAGTTGGACATAAACATTGAGTGTAAAGATGGTCTCGTCTTAGAATTAATGAATTTTTTAAAGTAACTCAATGTTTTAAGTGTTCAAAGTGTGAACACTTTCAAACAAAATGCCTAGAACCACAAATATGTGCTAAGTGTGGTGAAGTTGAACATAAAGATTTGGAGTGTAAAGTTACTCCAAAATGTATTAATTGCAAAGAGACAAATGAAAAATGACAATGAAAAATGAAAAAGGCAAATGAATGTATAAATTGATGCTTAGCAATGATCATTCTAACTTAGATAAAAATTGTCATTGTCACAAACGACAAATGGATCTTTTAATCAGTCGTACTAATTATGGCTAGTAAAAGTGACGAAGACTTTAAAATGGTTCAAATAAATTTACATCACACCAAAGCTGCTGTAGTAGTGGATAATAAAGTTTGGGGAATCCCAATGATATTATATTAGTACTCATATTAATACTATTGAAGTATATTAGTACTATTGAAGTATTTGAAATTTTGAACTTTTTGTGACAAATGTTATCCACCAATGGCAATTGTTCTGCTTGACAACTCTCCAGCAATGCTTTTGTATGCTTCCTCAAATATAGTGGCAATTAAAATTATCATTAATAATAGAAATGTAGTTTTTTTTCAGTGTATTGGCCCCCTAATGACGCCTTGAGTGACTATTTATATTGTACTAACAGTATTATTGATTCGCATGAAGGACTCGGAAATAATTATTTGCAGAGATTTCAATGTTAAGAGTCCCCTATAGAGTCCTTATGATCACTCAATTAATCCAAAAGGTGATGCTATAATTGAATTCTGCTCGACAAACAATTTGAATGTTCTTAATAGTCCTGATAACCCAGCTACGTTTTCCAGTGCCAGAGACGAAAGTTGGATAGACCTTACCATTGTAAGATCTTCTTTTGTCCTGACTTGGTCTGTTTCTATGGGTATATCATGTAGCGAGCATAGCTACATTGACATTGGACTTTTACAGAACTTACTTAGAGAGAAGAAATTTGAACGCTTCTACATTTGGGATTTGAATTGGCTAAATTTTCATGCAGAACTGTATAACTTTATAAATCAAGTTTCCAAAGAAAATATAGAAAATATTTCCGATTTAAATATTTATATTAAAGATCTTACTAACTCAATAGAGGATATGTGCAAGAAAAATAAGAAGATGAACAAATTTAAACAGAGCAACACTCTGGGTAAACAGGTGCATTGGTGGTCCGAAAACTGGCTGTTTTAAGAAGTCAAGTTTGACTGTATCGAAGAAAATTTCAGAGATGTTACAATCGTATAGAGAAAATTTGTTAGAGATTCAATATAAGAAGAAATTAGCTGAATATAAATGAGAACTCAACATTACTAAAAATTGCACTTGGGAACAAAGTTGACACTCCTGGTAAAGATGACCTGACAATGGATATTATTTTTAAAATCTTTGAATGTAATAAAAAGTTATTTGTAGCTATTCTGAATGAATGTCTTTAGAGGGGAATTTTTCTGAATGTTGGAAAGAGGCTGATTTGGTTTTGTTCAAAAAAGAAAGGATAAAGAAGATCCTTCCTCTTTTCACCCCATTTGTTTACTGCCTTCCTGGGACAAGCTGCTGGATAAACTCATAACACAACAGTTACAATATTATTTATTATCAAATAATCTTTTAAATAAAAATCAGTTTGGTTTTATGCTGGGTAAAAGTACTATCTAGGCTATAGATAATTTAATTTCTGACATCCTTCGAAATAGAAGGCATGGTAAACATAGTGCAATTTTACCCTTAGATGTAAAGAGCACTTTCAACAATGTTTGGTGGCCAATTTTATTAAAGGAATTAAAAAATATGAAATGTCTAAGAAATATCTTCTTATTAATATGCGATTTTCTGAATGAAAGAAAAGTTTCCTTATATGATGGTAATAAGTGGCATCATAGAAATTACCAAAGGGGTTGTCTCCAAGGCTCAATATCTGGTCCACTTTTGTGGAATATTATTGCTAATATAGCTTTAAACATATCCTTACCACAAAATGTTAGTATACAAGCTTATGCTGACGATTTTGTTTTATTGGCCACAGGAATTATACTATTAATAAAGCTTTAAGTTTTGCCACTCAAGAATTGGAGAAGTGGTCTTTCCATGTTAGACTCAAATTTGATCCAAAGAAGAGCTTTTTTGGGGGGTATTGCCAAAACTAATACTAGATCAATACATCCTAGGTGCAAACTGTATGGACAACCAATTACAGTTTCTTAGACAATCAAATATTTGGGCATTACGATTAATAAAAAGCTTAAAGCTTACTTTTATACCTCACTTAGATCAAATAAAGATCGAATGCACCCATATTTTTAACAGACTTAGTAAAATGAATCTCCAAGGTAAAGTTCTTAAGAGTTTAGATAAAAGAGCTGTTGAGAGAAAACTCTTGTATGCATGTGGCGCATGGTGGACTGGAACGGTCCGAATGCGTAACAAAATTTTGCTAATTCAAAGAATCGCTTTATTGGGGATTACTAAGTGTTTTAGAACTGTTTCCACAGTAGCTCTTAAAATTTTGGCTGGATGTCCTCCGATCAATATTTTAGCAAAAAAAGTATATGCAATCTTTAAATTAAAAGCTGGTAATAAAAGTGTTGATTGTTTCAGTGAGATCTTCTCAGCTAGAGATTTTGACATCGAAAAAGGATTAGATATTCATCCAACTTTATTGAAACGGTTAAATTGGCATAAAAACCTCTCCAATATGACAGGCTACACGGTTTTTACAGATGGATCTAAATTAAATGGTCATGTGGGGCAGCCTTTTGTGTGTTCTCACATGAGAAACTAAGCTCGCAAAGGAAATATAGACTTTCTGACAATGCCTCTGTCTATCAGGCAGAGTTAGTGGCCCTACAAGAGACCTTATATTGGCTTATTTCTAATTCTGAGCTAGATCCTGTAGAAATCTATAGTGACTGCAAAAGCCAAATTGTTTCAATTATGGATGTTTGTTCAAGTAACGATTTAATTAATCATAAAAGATATGCTCATTTTTCTTAGTGCTTAGAGATATTAAACTCTTTTGGACGAAGAGTCATATTAGTACTATTGGTAATGAGTTAGCAGATAGATTGACAAAGGCTGCCACTGAAAATCAAATTGATTTTGAAGTAAAGACTTCCTTTGACAGTTTGAAATCCTTGTTGAAAAGAAAGAGTGACTCTATGGCGAGCAAATTGGAATGACCCAGATTCTAAAGGAAGATTCGCATACAATTTAATCCCAACTGTAAGTGAGAGAAGATGCCCAAGTGACAAGTATCTAAACCAAGCTTTAACTAATCATGGACACTTTCCCTTTCATTACAATAGGTTTCCAATAAAAATTGTGCCTGTCCATGTGGCATGAGTAATGTCGATATTGACCACCTGTTGTTTAGATGCTCTTCTATGAAAAATATTGTTCTAAGATTTATTCCAAATATTGCTAAATTTAATACTCTAAAGGATCTAAGTAAAAATACAGTGAATAAATTGAAATTGTCTAATTTCATGAAATATATATCTGTAAATGAAATGAATTTATATTCTTGATTGTGTTTAAAATTTCCCTGTCTGTTTTATGAAAAACTAGGGTGTTTATGATATTCTGTTTGTATATCTAACATATTTTTATGTATGTAAGTAATATGTGTTATATTTTACAAAGTAATAATGTGCTTTTGTTAGTGTAGCTGGTAAATCTCACCAGCTTTTAGACTTTAAGTTCATATTTTAGCTGTTTATTCTATTTAAAGTTATTTCAGGTAATATGGTGGTAGTTCTACTGCTTAATGGGCCTGATTTAGGCCTTGTTTTAGATCTCGGTGTTTCTTTAATTAAATAGCTCCACTAAGCCCTGTTAAGCCTTTAATGGTGGTACATGAAGTTCGACCAGTCATGCCAATTCCATTCAAATAATTCTCGAATTTTCCTTTATTGTGCTCCCAACTTTGTCAACACTGGATACAGCATTTTGATTGTGGCAAAGCACACCAGAGTATCTTCCTAAGGGGAGAGACACCTTTGCGAAAAGCTCAAGGAAAATACAGCTGTATTCATGAAGACATGGGAAAAGCTATGCATTCAGCCCACTCACCAAAATCTGAAAACAGGTCAAACTACCAATATTTTGTCTTGCTGATTTGACCACTGGTGGGTCTCAATTTTTAAAGATTTGGTGTATTCGATTATGATAAAGCTTGTGAGGGCCATCTGCCTAAGAAAAGGGATTTCTTTACGGAACACCTAAAGGTGATGTGGTGTGGTGTATTTAATTATGGCAAAGCACACTAGGGCTATCTGCCTAAGGGGAGGGATGCCTTTCGTGGAGGACTTTCTAAGGGAAACTGGCTCATATACACGTTACACATGGGGAAAACCACAAAACGCCCATGCAGCCAGCCCGTTCGCGGGATTCGAACCTCGGACCGAACTACCAGTGTTCAGCGTCTTTACCGCTCGGCCGCTGGTGGGCCGAAGACCTAAAGGCTTATGTGCATATTACACATGAGGAAAAACATGAAAATGTCCATGTAAACAGCCCATTCACCTGGAACTGAATCCAGGTTGAACTACTAGTATTCTGCAACTTTACTGCTCAGTTACTGGCAGACCTCTCAATTTTTTAAGAAGCAGCATATTTGGGCATTTTCAAATTCGACCAAGTCACCAAATTTCAATGAAAAAATCCTAATTTTCTCTTATAGAATAATTTTAATTTCTAATAACAGAAAAAACAGCATGCAGTTTTTTGTTTATTTATTTAAAATATACTTACTCCTAAAAAAATATTTCTTGACGAATCAAATCCAGCTGCAAAAACTCTTGCTGTGAAATTTGGACTCCTATGTATAAGTATTCGACAAGCAAATCGAGATATCGTACTTTGTGTGACTTTGCCTCCTTCACCAGTTTTGTCACCAGGTACAGTATCCATGACAACAAAGTCTATAGGGGATTCAGAGGATCGGCCAATCTACAAAACAAAAATTTACAAAGTATCATTTGAAACTAAATCTACATTTCATAAACCAACACACTAAAAATGGACTACAACTTCTACAAAATTTCAATTTATACTAATAAAACACCAGAAATCTTTCAGAAATACAAATTGGAAAACCAGAAAGTTTATTAAAAAAAATTAAAGATACATGCATAAAATTTAATCAGATAAAAAGATTTTTTTTTCTTATTTGCTTTAACTAGTAATCTCTTGTGATAAAAGTTAATATAAGGAGATGTTGTTTAAGTTTCAAAATATATGCCAAGTAACAGCAGATACTGTCTTACCATAGTAATCCATGACCATGAGCACTTTTATGCATGCTTTTAGACAAATGCAATAAAATATGATGAGAATCATATGTTCAGAACACCATGCATGTTTTCAGATTGCATGGCCACCCCTTGAAACATGATCTGTTACTCCTGCAGACTGACATAAATATGATGGTAGAGAATTAATGCTACTAATGGCTAAAATACTCGGACTTTGTACCTATGTACTGTTGGGAAGAGAATTTTCATTTTTGTTATTTACTGACATTTATACTGACAGTGCATGTACCATGCTTCTATACTGCTCAGTTGTCTTTGGAGGATTAAGCTCACAATCTCTTACTTTTTACAAGCTTACTTTGATAAAAATACTGATAAAAGTATACAGTGATATTTATACACTTTGCATTCCTTTATACAGTATGTTATTAATGATACAGTAATGTTTTACTGAGTATAATTTATCAATTAAACTATACCTTATACACACACATTTACTGAACATCATTTATTTATGCAGAATTCAGTTATCTGCAGCTTCATGCCTCTGTGGTAAGTATTGGTATACATTACAGATACAGATTATGGATACAGGGATGTTATTATATGTAATGTTAATTAACAGAATCATCAAATATATGATTTTAAAAGGTCAAAATATATTTTCTCAAAAAATACGAGTATTATGCACTTACATTTTTTAAGTATAAATATGACCCGTACAATTATGGAAGAATAACAGCAACAAGAATGACTGTAATATTCATAAATTTGCAGGACTAGTTTCACAGGTTTACATATAGAACCTTCAGCTGTAGAAGTAAAAAATGCAGAAAATTTGCACTTCTTGCAGCTAAAGGAGGCGATTCTATATTTAAACCTTTAAAAGTAGTCGTGCAAATTTATGAATATTACTCTGAGTCTTGTCGCTTTAACTCCTCCAATAATCATTATTTGGCATGTTATTTTAACTCAAATAAGATCTTGTAAACTTGATATTCAAGTCTCTAATTTCTTTATGTACCATATATGCACTATCTGACATAGAAAATACTTCAGGATGAAAATTCTCCAACTTTTAGACTATGAAGATTTTGTTAACCCCTTCACGCCGACTGTCACGTCTACGTGCCAGCAACGAACACACTCACTTCCTGGCTGACACGCAGGCATGCCAGAGCATTTTCCTGTTCAGCCCCGACTGTCACGTATTTGTGCCAGTGTCCTGGAACGTTTCAAAAAACTATAATTTCTGCACAAGATGGCACGTATGTCCATATGGTTTTCAGATACATGTACATTAGACCTTCTACTCGAAGTGAGAGAAGCATGACTCACATACACGTGTTTTTGATTATATAAACAAAAGGGGAAATAAATGTTTCTGAATGGCGTGATTTATGACGTCTCTTTCGCTAAAGCGTTGGGTATTTCGGTTTGCAGTTCAGTTTTTAGAAAATAATTAGATCTTGTTAGATGTGAATTCTTTCTGTTTTTACCGTTGCAATGTCGAAGCGTCGAAAACGTTTGACAGGGCATGAAATAGCAGAAATGATGCAAAATTTTTCAGATATTGATTCTGATATTCTGATACTGATTCTGAAAGATTAACTGAAAGACGTTTTCCAAAACTTTGTTCAGAAGAGACTGATAAGAAAATGAGACAACGATGCTTCGTTTGTTCACATTCCCGGAAAAACCCTCCAAAACGGCAAATGAGTTATTACGAGTGCAAGGAATGTAACGTAGGACTGTGTGTAGATCCCTGTTTTCAAATTTTTCATACGAAAAGAGAATTTTAAGTAATATATTTAGTTTTCAGATGTATAATGTTAAAAGTCATAAAATGGTGAGTAATGAAATAAAATGTGTAAAATATGCATTTTTAAACAAGAAATAAGGTTAATTAAAGTATATATAAAAATATCTATAAAGCATAAGCCTTTTAAATACTCTATAGAGCATTATTAAACAATGCGTTGATACTTTGGAAATTTCATGGATTTAGGCTTAATAGCAAAAAAGCCCCAGGCCCTGGACAGACGCTCACGTAAGACACTTCCGGCCTCCGCGAAAAGCGCGCGTTTGCGCTACCCGGCGCGAAGGGGTTAAAGCAATGCACAAACTACACATTTAATACAATTTAGTGGTGTTTACCTAAATATAACTGAAAAGAAAAATCCATCTCTTAATTAACTTTTAAGATTATTCCAAGATGCTAAATTATGTCCTTTGCAGTTTTTTGTATCAGGAATAAAGAAGGGGAAATATCTTTGAAATGCTGATAAAATACTGATATTCAAAATGTACTTATCGAAGGTTTCACGATAGTCCTATACACAGCTGGTTGGTCTATGTTGCAGCTTCACCTAAACACAACATAATCCAACAAATGTGCATAAAATCTAGAGAAAAAAGAAATATGAATCATCATATTCATTGTGATGACTGAGGTAACACTTTGAGAAGGTTCTTAGATGAACATTAGAACACTGATCACCACATCACTTTACTCAACAGTATTTTATGATCTACAGATCCAGACTAGAAACAGATTTAGATGTTATAATATTGAGATAACTGCTAACAAGATTTGCTGAGAGATTTTTAAAATCCCAACTGTCCCTCAAACATAGACTATTATGAAATTTCCTATTGAATGCTGATTACAGATTGAGATTTGATCGATGATACAGCTACTGTCTGGTCAAGCTGCTATTCTTTCAGCCTCATGCAACTCATCAGCAAAAAGTAATCATTTAGGATGCTATTATCATCAAGAACTTGCTTATTATCACCATCTCCATTGTTTAAACATCACAAAGGTTACCAATAAATTCCCAATGCATCTCATAAGACTGCAGCAAAACAGAAAGCAGTCCTCACACTTGTCAATAGCATTTTTGTGGAAAAACGAAAATACGATTCAAATACATCAATGAAAAAATCCTTATCTGAAGCTCTTCTCATGACGAGCAGATTAAGTGTCTGTGGTTAAGATTGCCAGCCATTTGATGACAGTTTTCAAAAGACATTGGTGATTAAAATAAATCTTGATGCCCTTTAAATAATTAGCAGAATAATAAGGAGACCATCAGTAGTTAATCATTTCTGGTATTATCATGTTAATGACCTCATTATAACAGGTTTAATAAGGTAAGCCAGTATCAGGTGGCTTGTCTTGTTCTCATATAATCAAAGTATACCATACCAACTTTTCAGCATGATTAGACAAAACTGAGCACAAGCTAACATCAATACACAATTCAAGAAAGACGTTTGGATAGTTCTTTGACAACATGATCTTCATAACTTATTCCATTTCAGAACATCTGTGATATTTACTTTCAATCCAATGAAAGCATTTCTCCTTAGTGCCCTTAAGATGTGGATCTTGTACAGAAATAACCATACAATCAGTTACTTCTCAGAACACCATCTGAAAACAATCTGAACATCATCTCAATGCCACAAAATATATACAGTCAAAAGTCGTTAATTCGGACATCCATAATGATCTATAATCCGGACCTCAAAGCTACAAACTTTCTGCGCATGCGGCGCGTTGACGCATGCGCAGAAAGACCTTTACGCAGACCTACGCGCAGAAAGACCTTTACGGCTGCGAATATGCGTGTGCACGTGCGCAAAATACGTTTACAAATGCACGTTTCATGTATAACGGACGGTATAAGCTAAGCTAAAATTATCTAATTATCTATTTCAGTTAATGTTGTAGATTGCATTATTCCTTAATCTTCGAATTGGATCCGGCTTATTTTTTGCAGACTGTTAGAGCAATTTTATAAAAGTAAGCTTGAACTTTCGATTATGTCAAATAGAATTTCCGATATATATTTACTAATATGTAAAGGATCTACAAAGCGAAAGTATGTTTCGAAGTCCATTAAACAAAAAGTGGAATTGCTGCAAAAAATGGATAAAGGCATATCCTTTATCTAAACTTTAACGTTTGTTTATCTTTAACGCCGCGGCGCGCAATGAAATTGGAAGTTGATCTGTCAGCACTATCCTTATCTTCAGGGCAGATGTTTTTATTTTATTTGGCTTATAATTCCTTACTAAATGTAGTATTCCATCTCGATGTACTCCGTCTTTGGTATGATTTAAATCAAATGCGTCGTCATTATTATTCGCTTCCCCATAGCAAAGAAAGTAACAGAGGTTATAGAAAACGAAAAAATTTCGATTGACAAATTAGCCGGTATTCTCGACACAGCAATTATAGGACTTGAACAGCAGAACTTTGTAACTGAACAAGGAATTATGTCTGTTTATAGATTAAAGAGAATGTATTATCCATAAAAAAAATAAAAAACGAAGCAACTTAAACACTTACATTGAAAGAAATGTTTTATAAAGTAATCAAATATTAAGCTTTTTTTTTGTAAATTTTGATACCCTTTAGATCATAATTGTTCTTTATTTCGTAAATTCAGTTTCATATTTTTAATTTTATAATTTCTGCATGCCATTTTACCAGATTTAAACTGATGATCTATAATCCGGAAAAATCGATAATCCGGAATCGCCGAAGTCCCGACGAGTCCGGATTAACGACTTTTGACTGTATTTCAAGACAATTTCAAGACAAGTTCATCAATATAACATCAGGCCTAGTTAATTTTCATATTTAGCCATTAAACTGATGTTAGCTTTATCCACAAGCCTATATATGTGAAGTTTTCACTTCAAGCATTTCTTCAGGTGTAGTCTTTTATCTGTAAAGCAATGTTACTTAAGTATATTATGCATACTTCAAAACAAAAGCAACTTAAAAAATTTTGAGATGACAATAGTTTCGCAAAAATCCCTTTTTGGTTTTTCAAATAACAACCCACAAAATCTTTGGAGTATCCACATTAAACAGAATATTATGTCTTTGCAGTTGGCTTTAATGGCTCTGGTGTTCCATTGGAGTTTAATGGGAAGAGAAGGGAGAAGAAGAACACAGAGAAGGGAAATGCAGGGAATAATGGTCTGGACTGCTAAATACTTTTCTGTATGGAGAGAAAATTCCAATGTGCAGTTGTTTACAAATCAGAATTCGGTGATTTGCAAAGAGGAAAATAAATTAGAACTTTATTTACAGAAAATCTCATTCATTTTTATAATTTAATTATATTGCTTTCCTTCAAGAGAAAAAGTTTTTAAGTAGTATTTCATTTATATAATGTTTTAATTAAGTAATGTTTCATTTACATGTTTTATTTAAGTAATGTTCAACATCTCATAAAATTAAGGGCCTTTACAAAAAGTGTTCATAAAATTACATCAATTTTACATTTATTTACCTTAGAAAATTCACTATAAATACACTGCAAAATTCAAATGATCATTCTGTTATTTCAGAGATTTTTTAACTTCGACATCCCCTTTTTTTTTAACCAAAAATTTTTCAAAAGACCTTACAAATTCACTTTCTTAATTTATTCAACAAAACTTTTGGCTGGAAAAAGTACAAAACCTTCAAGCAAATGTTGCAATAAACAGAAACAGAATTTATATTGCTGTTAAAAGTTCCATGTAATTTTAAATTTATTTAGATGTGCACATTATAAAAAATGCCTACAACATTTTTCCTTGAAAGAAATTATTTTCAAATAAAGTTCAGCACTATAAGCTCTCTGAAAAGCATTAAAAATTTTTAACTCTACAAAAGTGTTAAAATATTTTCATCAAAATGTAATGTTAAAGAAAATAATTGTCAAAATTAAGTTTCAGTTTGAAAATGGCCTTCATTTACTGTATGTTGTTTACACTGCAGTATCCTGTTAACCGAGTTTATTTAACCTTTTGAAGACGGGTTGGCCCTTATAGTGGCCATAGAGTCCTCTCTTTGAAAAGACTGGGTTGTCCACTTTAGTGGCCATGTCTTTTTCCCCCATTTTCCAGGCTGAAAAGTGGTAAGAAATGTCAAATTTGACGTCCTTGTGGTTTTAACCACTTATCTCTTTCAAAGGTCTTCTTTTTGCGATATAGATGCACCCCTCTGAGAATCCATTAAACTACACACAAGAATCTTTGTTGCAAATAGGAGGTGATTTCTTAAAGGGGGAAAGCATTTGGTTCAAGATTCCCCGTCTTTTGGTAGCTTTTACTGCTACCAAAGCCCCGGCCTCAAAAGGTTAAGAAACCTGATTTAATGTTTTATGTTTCTGTACTGTGTTTCAATTTTAGAAATTAAAAAATTAATATTTCTTTGAAAGGGGTGGTTTACACTGGTTTTTAAAAATTAGCAGAAAATATTTTCCAGTTCTTGACAACAAAAGGAAATTAATTTCCCAAAATTATTAACTTATTTGCTAATATAAACACATAGTAATTTAAAACATTATATTTATTTTCATATGCATCTCCCCCACTCCATTTTTACTAATTTTACAGCCTGAAATTGGAACAGAAAGTTATGTTGTGACCACAGATTTTGATGGGATAAGAAGTTATACAATTAAACAGTATAAGAATAAGCAGTAAGTTACCTGAAACATATCTGTCTCATCATCAGGCATGTACTCTACAATAACAGCTTGATTACGGGATAAGGTATATGAAATTGAGTGCTGTTTACTATCCAAGATGGCCTGAAAAACATATTTTAAGTTCAAATTAAAAAGATATTTCAGAATACCATTATGTTTAATAATTTAGTTTTTTCAAAAAACTAACTTTTGATGATTGTGGTGTTTTGACTAAATAATGCTGAGACTTCTTCACACCATTGGATACAGGCCTTCGGCATAAAAGGAATTTACTTCTGCGGCGACCCTTCTCACCCTGGGGTAAACTTCCATTGTACCCCAAAATTACAAGTTCACCATAAGTTAATAAAGGATCCTTTTTCAGCACACATAGCGGATTAATATCATTATGACTATGATCAGGTTCATGATGCGGAGTAGAAGGGCCAGAACTGCCACTAGATTTATCAAGAGAGGAACTCCCGTGAATTTTTGACGACTGCTGATTAGGACTGGAATTTTCAGCTCTGAAATACCATCAAAAAAAAAAAGTCAGGTCAAAGAAAGTTGCATATAACACATGCATGTAATAAATACAATATATTACAAATGTTTGAACAACTTATTTAACTCTTTGCACTCGATGCCTTTTCGCCCAGACGAACCATCAACTTGAGAAGATTTTCTGCATAACTGGAGAATTTCTTACAGCTAACTTAAAATGATTTCATACAGACTTTAAAGAAATCCAATGGTTCTTTTATGTCTGAAGATACTTGTATGGTTACAGAAGCAATGTAAATAGAAAACACCTTTAGCTGTGCTCAGGCACCTTCCTTAACTTCCTCGCCAATGTATATAGTAAAGTTTGTGTTCTCTGTGTATGTTTATTTATACAGTCAAAAGTCGTTAATTCAGACACCCATAATCCGGAATGATCTATAATCCGGACCTCAAAGCTAAAAACTTTCTGCGCATGCACCGCGTTGACACATGCACATAGGTGTTTACGCGTGCGCGTAAGACCTTTATAACTGCGCATATGCGTGTGCGCAAGCATAGAATACGTTTTTGCGTGCGCGTTTTATGTATAACGGATGGTATAAGCTAAAATTATCTAATTATCTATTTCAGTTAATGTTGATGATTGCGTTATTTCTTAATCTTCGAATTGGATCCGGCTTATTATTTTTTGCAGACTGTAAGAGCAATTTTATAAAAGTAAACTTGAACTTTCGATTATGTCAAATAGAATTTCCGATGCTGGAGCTCCCAAAGGATCTACAAAACGAAAGTATGTTTCGATGTCCATCAAACAAAAAGTGGAATTGCTGCAAAAAATGGATAAAGACATCAAGAAGGTGACAGAGAGGTTAGTGAAAACGAAAAAATTTCAATTGACAAGTTAGTCGGTATTCTCGGCACAGCAATTACAGGACTTGAACAGCGGCACTTTGTAACTGAACAAGAAATTATGTCTGTTTATAGAATTAAAGAGAAAGTATTATCACATAAAATGAAGCAATTTAAACAACTTACATTGAAAGAAATGTTTAATAAAGTAAAGAAATTAATATTAAGCTTTTTTTTTTTTGTAAATTTTGATACCCTTTAGATAATAATTGTTCTTTATTTCATAAATTACGGTTTCATATTTTTAATTTTATAATTTCTGCATGCCATCTTACGAGATTTAAACTGATGATCTATAATTCGGAATCGCCGAAGTCCCGATGAGTCCGGATTAACGACTTTTGACTGTATATATGTAAATTATTATATATTCCTATTTTAATCTGGAAATTAACTTATTTATGCACTTTATATTTCTTTATGTGTAAATGTTGTTTATCTACTAGTATTTATGTAAGCAGATTGATTGTATGAGCAGCTTCTGTAATTTAAAAGGCATTTCTTATACACACACTTACCTTCACTCCCGGATCGCCTTCTAGGTGGCAGCCTAGTCTAGCTATGGATTCTATCGGCCACATTTTCTTCGTTATGTTTCGGCCACAACGTTTCTATGAACCTTTATGCACCCTGTAACCTCAAGACCTTGAAATACTTATGTCCTATTTTGAGTTATGACCTTTCATTATTATTTGATTATTATATGTTAGAAAATCAGCCACTAAGTTACACTGGGGTAGAGCTGTAGCGCGGACACCTGATTTGCAAGCACTGTTTTGCCTGAGCCGAAGATACAGTCAAATACCGAAAATCCGCCAACTCCTGAAATCTTTGTTGCGTCTCAAAATATAAATATTCAGTTTATAGGTTCCGGAAACTGCAACACTGAGTACGAAATATCGAAGAAAAAATACTTACCGAATAATGACGTCATAATTACCGAATAATAATGAGTTATAACGGAAATACCAAGTTATTGACATAAAAAAGTTAAAAATAAGATAAAATAAATAAGATAAATTTTTTTTTCACTCTAATCTGCATCAAAGTAAAAAAGCAGATGATTCACTCAACTCTTCATTCAAGTTCACGATTCACGTTGTTGTATTTTTTTTAGCTCTGTTATTTCACGAGATTGTTTAGTGCTGTCTTTTTTTTTAATCTGGATATTTTGTGGATAAATTAAGAATATTTTTAATTTCAGCCCTTTTTAATACAACAACAGATAAGAAACACACACATGATTTTACTGCTTGCAACGTTTAAAAACGTAAACATGTTGCATTGACGGTAATGCAAAAAGTGCAAATTCTGCAAAAGATGGAGGCAGGTGCTACTTCTCGATTTATAGCAGAATGTTATGGAATTGTGACATGATTGTGTATGATATACCGAAAAATAAAGAAAAGCTGTTGAAATTTTATAGTAACAGTGATTCTAACACCGGAAATCTTTGCATGATGCGAAATCATCAAACCTCGATGCTGTCTACAATGAATAATATAATCAATTTATATACATTATAATAATTTAATGCGTATAATAAATTACTGCAACAATGTATATAATAATTTAATTAAACGTATCTAATACGCCTTATTTATTTTGCACTTTTAGTCCAAATATTATGCTTTATCTTTTCTCTCCTAAAATTCGCAAAATCATAACATCCGCACAACCTCTGGTCCCAAGCTTTGCGGATTTCTGGACTTCTACTGTACTTGTGGTCCTTTCTAAGATATCTGAAGATACTTTCACCAGATACAAATGATACTTTCGCCTTTGTGGTACTTCTTCGGATTCTGTGTACTTTATCCATTCTGAATTTTCTATCTTCTGTAGAATCACTGTTTATTACCCAGATTTTTCACTATCTTACACCTCTTACTTCAATGATACCTTCATCACAGCTTTCCTTTTTTCTCTCGTCAAGTACAGTATGCATACATGTAATTTTGTTCTTAACGAAAAATTGAACTCATTTTCACTTGAACTGATTCCATCATCGTATTCCATGTTTGTAGGGCTCTAACTTTGAAAATAATATTCCTATTGCTACAACTGTCAAGTTCAAACAAATGAAGATGCATACATAACAATAAATAAAAAAAATGAGATTCAAGATTAGCAGTTTTTTATATGCATATATCATAGAATACAATCATGCAGCGATATTGCCTAAACCAAACCTTTTTGCATCAAACCGAGTGGTGATCGAGAGTTACCTCTTCCGTTACGGCACCAAGACATAGGGTACCCAAGAATCCTTTCTCGAATTACTGCATCAAATCAAATGGTGCTGAGAGTCACCTCTTCAGTGAAAAGGGTCAATCTCACAAATTTTTCACTTTACATAATATCTGTTTCAAAGCAATTACATGACTTAGTTTTAAAAGCTTACTGGTTTTGCTTTGCAATTGTCAATCATTATCTGACAAGGTCTTTCCAATTCTATTCATGCAATATTTAATGAAGTGATTAAACTTTACACAAATACATTTATCAGACATAAATATAAAAGAGGTAAGCAATATGAATTTTAAACACAAGAAAAGTGTTAACACAAAATGTTAAAACCGATTTCAGAAACAAATGATTTTCTACACACCAAAGAAGAAAGTGATATAGAAAAATTAGCTATTAAATTCCCATTTTAATCACAAGAGAAAGTTTCTGATCATGCATGGCATGCCGTGAGCACTGCTTTTATTTCCCAGATTTTCTTGTTTTACAAAAACACTTTCTTGATTTTTCACCAAATTTGCAAAATGAAATTTAATAATGCTCCCTGCATGGTTGGAATGCCTCTTAAATGATGAATAATTTTTTGATTATAGGTGATTAATGCCTACTCTAATAGATGAAGCTCAGGACAAAATTGATCCATTTGTGACACTCTGAAAAGTTTTACCTACTCAATACTTATTCAAATGAAACAAAATCTCTAGAAAAACCTTACTCTTGTAGTACCAGGAAATTAAACCAAATATAGTTGCTTACTCATATTAAGTTTGTTTCAAATATCTGCCACATGCGTTTGAACTGCTTTGGAAGAGCACAATCTTCTTTCAGCTGAAATTACTTTCTCATTACTTTTAATTTAGGTGAAACAAACCCACTGGAATTTTTTGGACAAATATTTTGAAAAAAGACATTTTTCCCTTTGATGCATTCTAAGGATGAAGTCAAAGCCTCAGTTACCATATTTTTTACACGTTTCTTAATCTAGAAGCTAAAGTCAGTAAGTAGTGTCTTATTTATCATAAGAACGAGAATTTACTGCAAATGAACTGCCAACCCAACAACAATATCTCGTGATCCCTTTCTTGTCTTCTTGCATTATTTTGATTTTTATATATAAAAGAGAGCAAATTCTGTTCTACTCCCGAGCTTTATACAACAAAATTCCAATACATCCAACAAACAGTGAAAAATTGCTGATACTTGCCAGATTTTTAAAACAACTCTAAAAAATATGTGACAAAAATACAAAACCATGTACAAAAATAAAACATAAATTTATTGGAATGTGATCCTGTTACCCAAATATTTGTCACATCAGAATTTTACAAACATGGCTACATATTCACAGTATCATCAATCTGAGAAGACTTATATAAAAAGCAAACATGTCGAGTGCATCATCAGCTGCAAAGACACAATAGGAAACCAAATACTGTGTAATGGATAAGCATACTGGAGACGACCAGATAAAATTTAAAAGCAAAAAATGGCATACACAGCTAGCAAAATAGCACATATTTGTTAAATACATAGGATCATCTATACCAGTGGTTCCTATAGACCCCAGAGCGAAATTACAAAGCAAATTAAAATTAAAATTAATTTGGTTGTGTGGACAATGTCAGAGGATCTGCAATTGATTTAATCGTGCCACATTTTTATTATTATGAAAGTTAAAATATATAGTAATTAATGAACTGGAGGTAATTTTTACATCCTGAGTAAAATACAGTACAAAGTCCAAGATCCGGAATGATCTAAAATCCAGGCCTTAAAGCCACCATTCAAATTTTTTTATGCTTTACGAATGTGATTTGTCTCTTCGTAATAAAACATGTGGAGAATCCAGATTCTTAATCTCACTTTGGCA